TGCGGTCACATCGTGACATACTCTTCTTTTCGTCCGACGCTATAGCCTGCTGCTGCTCTATTTATCAAAGGCCTATGGAAGGACATTCCAGTCAAATTACCTCGTTTATATCTTTATCTGGCGGATTAGTGTGGTGCGATTGATAACCGTGACTTCAGGCTTAAGTCAACCTTCTGGCACTCATCAATTTCTGATGCTATGGTTTTTGGTTGATGAAAGCTTCCTCTGAGCTCGATGCAGCACGGAAAGTCATTTCCACTAGAATCTATGTTCCAAAAATTTCCGGACGGTGCTCTTTAACCTCGGGCCGCATGCGACCCCTCAGCTTTTCCCCGTACAATCTTACTGCTGATGAACATTCGCCTCAGATGTGTACATCTTGCTCCTTCGTATCAATACTGATGTATTGTTCGAGTTCAGTTATTTATCTGTTCAAAATATGCACAGACAATGACAGTATGTCCTTACACGAACCTGCACTGTTAGATTCTATATTTATTATCATCCAGTTCTTCTGCGCTGAATTACAGCAGAAGCGACCACCAATAATGACACAAGAATAAATATTCATTCCGATATTATCTAGATAAATTACCTGATATACGAACCGTCTTCTCAATAAGCTTGTTATAATCCTTATTTTATCATATTAAGTATTAACAACAAGGCTATTTGCTGACTCTTTCTGTGGAGCTCGATTCCATAGAGCCATCAAGATCCTATTCCGTGCCGAAGTGGCACTTCATCTTGTCTGGGTTCCTCTCCACACTAGAGCACTTTGAACTCCATGCCCCAACAAAACTCGAAAAGGTTCGTGCGTATGTGCTTCCTGATGGACTTGGCAGCTACAGTGCTTCGTTACAAAAGAACCCCAATGAGTGGATACTATTCCCGACGACTACCCACATTCTGTGCAAGCACGTCTGCCATATGATACAAGTCTATCATAACAACTTGCATATATTTCCCTCCAGCGGATGAGCCACACTTCGGCGACTAGCTCTTTCGTCACTTTATGAGCAAAAATGAACCCATTGAAGTGCTATTGACAGTCGAAATTATTGGTAATTATCTTGGTAAAATAGGCCTCTTGCTGGTAATTCAAGTTGGGAACAGTATTTAAAGGGCTGGGATAGAGACAGGCTTTCCATGTTCAAATTTTCGAATATGCAATTCCTCGTCTCTATTGTTACTGCTGCTCTTATGGCATCCCAAGCCTCAGCCCATTGTGAGTATTCTGGTTTGGACCAGTGTATCCTTCACTAACCGTTATTCTATGGTCACGTTCGTTTTTCCTAATTGATATTCCTTAATGCATGCTGAATATGTAACATAGTATGCAATATTGGTGGAAGAATGGAGTACGTAACTTGTTGGACTCTCTGCTCTTCAGCTCATTTATGTAGTTGCTTCCTTCTCCAGGTTGACCAAGGTATCAATACCAATATTCGTATTCCTCCTTCCAACAACCCTGTAACGTTAATGGTCGTCTCGGTGCTGGCGTTTCTGTCGGAACCATAAATACAGGTGACTTTGTTACTCTAGAGTGGCACCAACACCAGAGGGCAGGTCCAGAGGACCCCATTAGTTGTGGCCATAAGGGACCCGTTCAAGTTTGTTTGGCGAAGACGCCAGGTTCTGCCGCTGTCTTTGACGGCTCAGGGACTGTCTGGACCAAGGTATACTCTGCGGGTCTTATCAACTCCATGATATAGGCTACCGATTTTGTCAATGCCAACAGTGGCAAGCATACCTTTGTTATTCCAAAGTCGATTCCTTCCGGTGACTACTTGATCCGTAAGTCTTTGTAGGTGTCGCATAAATATCTAAATGAATAATAATTGATGTTCCTTGTAGGTGGTGAAATCACTGCTCTTCACGCCACTTCAAGTTGCCCTGGTGCTCAATTCTATATCGGTAAATTAAATTTTCGTTTTTTCTCTTTCAGTTCTTCATTGTTAACCAAATACGTAGGTTGCGTTCAAGTAACAGTCCAAAACGGTGACAACGCCAATCCGCCAACAATTGCATTACCTGGCGCATACAAAGCAATGTGTGAGAATTTTGGCTTTCTTTTTTTGGCAATTTTATTTATTATCCGAACGCATAGTGACCCTGGAATTACCATTAATATTTACAACATTCAGAGTTGTACGTCCTTGCTTCTGCAGCCTATATACCCTTTTCTCACAAAGATCAACTACAGACACTGCGCCAGGTGGACCAGTATGGTCTGGATGAAAACGCAACTTGAATGTTCGCTTATACCATCCATGTGTTTTTGCTTGCAAAATACTTAGTCACCACCACGATTTTCATAGCACAGTATCAGCAATTTCACAGCCTATTGAATCAGAACAGGATATGTGTCTAATTAAATACTTATTGTTTGAGATATTCGGGGGGAATGCTACCACTTAAGTGCAGTCACTTACGTTAAGACTTCAGAATATCTCTTCGGAAGCCCTGTTATCGGACATGAACGCCATTCGCCATTTCTAAGCGGATTGTGAAGCAAGATCCGACTCAGACATGTGACAAGTCACGATTACAGCATGTGCTCATAAAGGGCTCCGGATTCAATTCAAGCCTACAATTCCCTTCTGACCACCATGTCGAACGCTCAGCTTGCATCTTTCAAGGTCCCAGAAATCAAGAACGAACCATTTGTGAGTTATATTTCCCTGCAAATGTATCTTCCGTGTGTCATGCTTATTGTGGGCCTTTATAGAAACATTATGCTCCCGGTTCTCCTGAAAGGCTTGCTCTCCAGAAAGCTCTGGACGAGATGAAGCAGTCACTTCCATTTGAAGTTCCTATTGTTATCAATGGCAAACATGTAAGCATAATGCATCTGTATAACCTTTCTTATAATGTGTAACTTGCATTGTGCAGGTCAAGACGGGAAAGACTGCGAAGCAAATAATTCCTTCGGACCATGCAAAGCACCTATGTACTTATCATGAAGCAGATGAGGCCACAGTTAAAGCCGCTATTGATGGTGCACTAGCTGCAAAGGAGACTTGGGAGACGATGCCATGGAATGATCGTGCTGCCATCTTCTTGAAGGCTGCTGACTTGGTTAGCGGTAAATATAGGTACAAACTTTTGGCTGCAACGATGTTGGGGCAAGGAAAGAATGCATGGCAGGCTGAGATCGACGCGGCTGCAGAGGTTCGTCGCTAATCGTAAGCTTATACCTCCGTTTGTTGATTTCCACTAGTTGGCCGACTTCTTCCGTTTTGGCGTCAAATTCGTCGAGCAACTCTACTCCCAACAACCTGACCAGAATACCCCTGGATCCTGGAAGTAAGCACACGTTCTTTAGGAATAATTGGCCTTATCTTATCTGACGCCGGATAGTCGGGTCGAATATCGACCATTGGAAGGATTCGTCTTAGCCGTATCTCCGTTTAATTTCACTGCGATCGGTGGCAATTTGCCTGGAGGTGAGTTAGTTATATACTTTTCCATTAATATATTACCAATGCTGTTTTAGTTCCTGCCTTGGTTGGGAACGTAGTCGTATGGAAACCGTCGCCAGCTGCAACGTATTCAAACTACATCGTTCATCAAATCCTTCTTGAAGCCGGCATTCCACCAGGCGTTATTCAATTTGTTCCTGGTCCTCCTCCCGAAGTAGTTGCGCAAGCAATCGGCCATCCCTCCTTTGCGGCATTGCATTTCACGGGAAGTACCTTCGTCTTCAAGAAGCTGTGGAAAGACATCGCTGCCAATCTCGACAAATATAAGGGATATCCAAGGATAGTCGGAGAAACTGGTAAGTTTTCTGAGTATCGGCAAATGCATATATTTATTGAATATATTTTCAGGCGGAAAGAACTTCCATCTAATTCACTCATCGGCTGACATTTCGAATGCTGTTAACCAAACCGTTCGTGGTGCATTCGAATATCAAGGTAAATTTTATCTTAGTCGAAATTTTCTAGTATTCATAGGCTATTGACAGGACAAAAGTGCTCCGCCCTATCCCGTCTTTACGTTTCCTCTTCCGTATGGAATAATGGATTCAAGGATCAACTTATTCGAGAGACTCAGAAGATTTCGGTTGGCAATACTACTGATTTCCAACACTTCAATGGTCCTGTGATGTAAGCTGAACCGTAATTCGTCTTATATTACAAATATTCATTATAAACAGTGGTCGACCCGCTTTCGATAAAATCGTTGGTTATATCGAAAAGGCTAAGAAAGAAGGGTCGGAAGTTCTTGCCGGAGGAAAATGTAAGAATTTCTCGTTGAATTCGAAATTACTTGATCTGACTATGATTCCAGGGGATGATTCTAAAGGATTTTTTATTCATCCAACTGTCCTTCTCTCCAAGGATCCCAAATCAGTCACCTTTGTGGAAGAAATCTTTGGGCCTGTATTAAGTGTAGGTGACAATATAACTTCCAAAAGTTCAAGTTGCTAAAGTTTAATTAGGTTTACGTGTACGAGGACTCTGACTGGGATAAGACCTTGCAGTTAATCGACACAACCTCTGAATACGGCCTTACCGGTGCAATGTCAGTTTTCTGCACCAACAAAATGATATATTCTGGCTAATCATTTCTCACATAGATTCGCTCGAGACCGTTCTGCTCTTATATATGCAACCAACAAGTTGCGCAACGCTGCTGGGAACGTGTATTATAACGAGAAATGCACGGGTGCCGTCGTTGGTCAGCAACCGTTCGGTGGAGCGCGTGCAAGTGGTACAAACGACAAGGCGGGAAGTATCAGCATCTTTTACAGGTTCGTTTCGGCGAGGTCAATTAAAGAGAACTTTATTGGGTTGGAAGATTTCAGCTATCCTTCGAACTTGGTATAAGAGAATGGATCTGACGAAGTTGTGATTGACTTGAAGGTTGAACAAATGGACTTTGATGTATTATAGACTTTCAAATGTGTTCTTTCCATTGCAATAATATTTGTAGTAACGTGGGGTATACGATCGGTAGTGGAGGAGGATGTAAAGCAAATATTAGTTTTGAGTGGCCGCCTGGCGTAATGGCAACGCGTCTGACTTCGATCTTAACCGTGGAATCAGAAGATTGTAGGTTCGACCCCTGCGGCGGTCATTTTCTTTTCTTTTGTTAACGCTCAATATCATTTTCCTGGACCAATGTGCTGACTTGTTGGTGTGGCTGCTTCCTGTTTATATATATTCTTAACGGCAAGTTTCTTTGCTCAAATATCCTTCCGGGATTTACCAGGGCATATGAGTAAACAATTAACGGATGCTTCGAAAAAGAGACAGAGATATGTACCGAGCCATAGTCCCAACAGCCGTGACCCACTTACAGTGAATGTCTTGCTTATGACGCGCAGTAGACTTCCCGCGATAGCTCCTCGCACAGCTCTTCTCGGATCTCTACTGGTGCTGTAAGGATACGAGAATCAATTGACGGTTCTGAGAATTCAGTATATGAACAATTTAAGAGACCGAGGCTACAGAAGGGGAGAGGGTGTAAAATAGGGTGGGGTGATAAATTAACGCACTTCTCAGTATCTGATGCTCTCTGCTTTTCTGCTCTCAATTGCTTTATAAATATCCCATAATTATATCTCTGTCTATCATGAGCGCATAAATCAGAGGGTAAATCGAAGTAGTGTCAGTAAAGCATACCAAAACAGTTCCATGCATGTACACAACAACAGTTCTCCTGGATTACTAATATACAATGATCTGGTTTACATTGGCCGCCTGGCGTAATGGCAACGCGTCTGACTTCGATTTAATAGTTGGAATCAGAAGATTGTAGGTTCGACCCCTGCGGCGGTCATTTTGCTTCGTTTTTTTTTCAGCGAATTTAGGCCTAATGACGATGCAGTGGCGGAAAAATATGGTCGCATGTTGACTATGTCCCTGTTCAGAGGATATATTCCTTGAGTATGATTTTTGGCAAAGCTTTTGTGTAAGGCCTGCCAGCATATTTGAGTCAGTGCAAGTACGTTGTGATTATAAGGTTAAGCAGGAGTCCAGTTTGCAGAGTATCACTCATTATGTGTACTCAGTTATTTCCCACATGTAATAAAATTGTGACATACCTGTATGGTTTTCCCGCCATTGTCGCAACTGTCAATGTTATGTCAAAAGCTACTGTTTAGAATATGTCACCCCTTTACTGGATCTAGGAAACCTTATCGGCTTCAAGTGACGTTCAAATTCAACCGTAGAGATCATCTCTACCACGGATGCGAATAGTATAAAATAATTACCTCACGGTCAAAGAATAAATTGTGGCTGATCAGCGGGGAGTTAGCGAGGCCTTCTGAGCTTTCATGCAGTCATGGAAGAATACATAGCTCACCCGGTTTCCAATTCCATATCAGCACATTGGGTAGAGCTGTGCTGAGGTGGTATAGCAATTGAACATCCCAAAACTGGAAAGAGCGTCCACCCCTCTCGTTATCTTCCTGACCATTGAGGATATGAATCGGACACTTTAGGTATCAGTCCTCAGGAACCAGGGGTGAGATAAAGAATGCAGAAAGCCTATGAGAAAATCTTTGAATGGCGAATCGCGTGGTAGTGAATCGAAGCGGTTCGAAAACAGATATTAGACTTTGTTAACGTCAGACCTTGAGCAGCTTTGTAGCTTTCCGGTTCCCAGGCGCGTGGTCAGTCTTCAGTGAACGTTGGAGACTCGAGAGTCATAGTCGTCCTTGGAGTGATGGCCACAAACTAAAAGCCTTATCGAGGGATCAACTAGTCTTTATAGGTCATACTAAAAAAAAGTCAGAGGATTCTGGATAATGTACCCACAGCGAGAGAAAATGGGAAATGACCCATAAATATTTAGACGAGCGGCGGACTAATCCTTTTATTTGGAATTGGCAAAAGTCACCCATCTGGATTGGGAACTGAGATCTGAATCAATGTGGATGAGCATGGCTATAAATTTATTTACCTAAATCATAATCTGTCTTCAACGTAGCTAAATAATATTAGTACACTTTACGGTATTCTCTGTACCATATTCCTCCTTGGATTGAGAGCTCTAGGTGTGATTCTGTCGGTAGGGGACGAGTGTGATTGAGACGAGATAACACGAAAACACTTTGTGGAACTTCACTAGGATCTTGCCATGAGAGAAATTGGTAGTTTCTATGCTAGAAAATGAAAGGGTTTGGACTTGATAGCAGCCAACTTGAAGAGGAGTTCTTAAAGGAGTTAGATAGCCTGCATCGGCAGAATTGCAATCTCGTAAAGGTTTCCAGGGATCAAATCGCGATATATATGCTGAAATGCCGGCAGCTCCTTCGCTTCCGATGACCGCGAGATCAACAAAGATGACAAAACACGCAATCACAGCGTGAACTCATATGAACTCAAGAGTGAGAATATATGCGATGACAGAGGCTCTACTCCATGGCAGAGAAGTTAAATGCGTATGTATACAAGCTATAATAATCTCTTCTTGAAACCGGATCTGATGAATAATTCTTGCGTATTGTGTTGAAGACAGTTCATATGCTCCGATTGCGAAAGACTGTGGTAGAGGGATCGACAGTACTCTTTCCGGATATGGCAGGTTCATATACGACTCAACAGTATTCCAGTATGAGGGGTTGCGACATCAGCAAAATGATACGGCGGATCAGGTGTTGGGGAATATTTCCTGTAGGATCCTTCAATCACGGGATGACCTGAATGGTTGACATAACTTTACCCGGAATGAGAACAGCGGCAAATATAGTAAATCGCGCGAAGATGCTTACTTCACTGCCACATTATAGACGTCGAAGGATCAGTTTCTCAAAAGCCGGTCGCAGCTCAGTATATATAGCACCCTTAAAGAGCCTGTTGGCAGAAGAAGCGTCCGGGGATATCTCCTTTTAACCACAGGATACAGATGCAAATATTCTCGTCACAGGCCACGTTGATTCAGAGAATGGGGTCAAATTTGAGCCTGTAAAATTGTTTACTGCAGCCTGAAAAACTGCGTTAGATTGGCTAAAAAAGTCAAGGTGGGTTTTACTCTGAAACTAGACACACGAAGTGGTTTTCTAGAATACCGGCAGATGTTTTATACGAAAATCATTCACGAGACGACACTAGAAAATCTCAATAGTTAGAATAGAAACTGCTTAAAATAAAAACGTCCCTTAGTGAATTGTCCTAATGATAAAGCAGCAGCATGACTCGGGGCTGCCGTACAGACCGTAGGAAGCCGGATACCTATCCCAAGAACGGAGATGAACGCGATTCGAAAATGTCAAGAACCACGCAGGGGTGCGTCCAAAGAAGCCTTTTACTTACTAGAACGGAGAGGAACTGAAAGAAAACGGGTACTTGAGTTGGCAGAGATGGGAGGAAAGTCACGTGATAGGCGCCCGCGTGTATCGCGGGAATCGCCGACCCAGAAAACCTATAATTATAACTGCTCCTCTATCAACGCCACTCACTTTCTCTTCACCCTCATCTCTTCGCTGCATTCTTCATTATGCTCATTAAGGTCAAGGTATGTGGTTCATTTTATTAAGGTATTTATATGGAAGCTTAGATTCTTGTTTCATTCTGTAGACTCTTACTGGCAAGGAGGTGCATATCGCGTGCTCCATTGTTGTATGCTTTGTAATTCACACCGACATTCTTTCTTCTCGGAATACATAGATTGAACTCGACATTGACCCTGATGACAAGGTTTGTAGCTTCATCGTACCTCTATGTTGCTAAGCCATACTAATCTGATCCTGGGTTGCATTTCGTCTGATTCTCGATCGTTTTTGCTGCGACATTTACAATATTACAGATTACACGTATAAAGGAGAAGGTCGAGGAGCAGTCAGGTGTACCGCCACCGCAACAGAGGCTCATTTTCGGTGGTCGGCAGATGTACGTATTTGCTTGTGGCTGCATGTTGGTACAGGGCTGACGCTATGATTTTCCTCTCAACATCCTCTTTTGCTTTATTGGTTCTTAACTCCTTCGCATTATTATTACATATGATCGAATCATGACGATACAGGCCAGACGATAAAACCGCCCGAGAATTCAATATCGCAGCAGGCAGCGTGCTCCATCTAGTGCTTGCTCTCCGTGGTGGCCAGTAATTCTTAGCGGTCGAGAATATATTAGAAGATTCAATGTATTCCTGTTTTCACCATCTCTAGTCTTTGTTTTCGTTTCGTCTGTATCTGGGTCTAAGGATTGTCGTAGTAGTATTATACTATTACAAAGAGCAATTCAGGCGCTCGTATTCTATATCCATGCATTCCCATCTTCTACCCAAGTATATACATAACAGCAGGTCAGCACTGCCTAAGTACCTCATATATATCCGATGGTCCTCCCGAGTGTAGCCGACTGCTTCTCTTCTCTTCATGGTGGTACAATAACCCCCTTTTCTACCGCGACTTCGGCATTGATAATGCTACTTGCGGCCGCTCCAATGGAGACGTTGTTCGCCATAACCACGAACTTCACATCCATAACAGGACAAGCTCGAATCCTGCCTACACTTACACCAGTTCCTTTTTGTACATCCCTATCCAGCCTCGGTTGTGGACGATCCTGCTCCTCGTGAACAATGAGAGACTTCTTCGGTGCAGTTGGGCATCCAAGAGTCTGAGCTTCACACGTGTAATCACGGAATGCGGCCCATACCTCCTCAATAGCGGGTGGTGGTCTCCTTGCGAATCGAACCGAGATGCAAGCAGTATGTCCTTCCAAGACCGGAACACGGTTGCAAGCGGCTGACACGCGTAGAGGAGCCGGAACGAATCCTTTGGCTGCTGCTTGCTGATCTTCTGAGATGGCAACGCCATTTTCGTCTGCGAGGTCTCCCAAAATTTTGGACAGTTCCCATTCCAGTTTGGCTTCTTCACCGCCTCCGATATAAGGAATAACATTGTCAAAGATGTCCAAGCTTGGGACGCCTGGGTATCCTGCACCGGAAATGGCCTGCAATGTCGTGATCATGACTGCATCCAGAGGACCGAAAGCACGCTCAAGAGCTGCTAGCGGGACTGCACAGCCTGTAGCAACACAGTTTGCATTGGTGACGATGAAGCCATGAGATGGACGTGGGTTAAGGAGCGACTGCTGGTATGGGATGACCGCAAAGTGCGAGGT